TAAAGCATCCCTTATTGTTCTCCCTGCAGTGTTGTATTTATGTTTGAAAATGGTTTGTCTCCTCAGGATAAATGTGTAAAGAATATATTACTTTTTTTAATAATATATAAAAAAAAAAGAAAATTCTATGATTTTTTTTTTTTTCGAAAGAAGGAGCCTGATTCAAACAAAGCTGTAAAATCTTTAGCCTTGGGATTCTCAACTTTTGAATGTGCCTACAGCCTCCTTTCCCCCCCCCCAAACTCCCCAAGCACCCCCACTCCCAGGTACCATAGTGAATAATCTTACTGTACTTTCAGAACCCAACCCTTGCTTTTGTGTCGATCTCAGGACTGAAATTTCTTTATTTTGATGTAGATGTTTTATTTATTCGTTTCCTCTGTTATGTTATTATTGTTTGACTTGAAGTAAATAAAACAGATAACTTCTACACTTTCCTTTCGTCTGGCTTTTGTCACTCGCCCAGGAGTCCTCTCACTTTTCCTCCTTTTTTAAACCTCATGGCAGACCACTGCCTGTCACTATCCCCCGATAGTCCGGCCTGTTTCCGCCCCTGTATTTCATCGCTGCCATTCTCGCCTCCAAAGCCCTGGCCTGCAGCAGATTTGGATTAGAGTATTAGCCTATTTTTGAGACGTTTCATTTCCCAAAATGCATCCTAAAAGGGAGGACGCCAACTGACTGGAACACGGCGTCGGAAGTCATTCAGCTCCAAACGTTTCCTTGTTTTTGCTAAGTGCACCTCCCTGTCGTCTTGGGTGGTTTCCTAGGTCCGAGATCCAGGAAGAGGCCCTGCTGTTGGACTCCTATCAAAGTATTTAGCCTTTGCCTTGAATAAAATATCCAGCCATGTGAAGTGCTGAAGTTGTTTGTCGCTACGGATGGAAGAGTGAGCTAAGCAAACAAGGCAATTACGTAATGAGATGAAATTCCCAGCGGACAGGGATTTGGGAGAAAGCGCTTTGCGGTGCAAATCCAAGGGAACATTTAAAGGTGGGATGGATAAAGCTGAGATGAGAAGCTTTAGCATTAGCGGTGCACATGGTGAACTTGGCAAGGCCAAGCAAGCAAGCAAGCCCCCCCCCCTCCCCAGCACAGGATGTACCAAACAAAGCAGCTATGGGGGGGACTGTTACCATACTATTGAGAAACTCACAGGACACATCCCTAGGTAACCCCGATGAGGTCGTCACTTAACTGTATCAATATTATTACATTTTTGTTTGTTCATTGTCCTTTGTGCCAATTCCTGCCCTTGAATTTTATGCAAACTAATTCCTAAAGGTGTGTCTATTTATATTCTTGTGCATTCAGCAACTAGCCACTGGCTGTTCCATTTAAATCCCTGCTATCTAATTGTCTTATTACCCATCTTGTTTAATTCCCATTTTTAGTGCCTGGCTCTGTCTGGGGACACCCTGCAGACTGGGCCGCTAATCTGTGACTTTGAACCCCCTCCTTCCACCTTGGTTTGTGCCACAGATTCCCCCCTAAGTGGAATGACAGTCAGAAAAAAGAGAACACAGAATTTCGAAAATGGCCAAAAGTGGCTTCTTGAAAAAAAGCAATTCTGCAAAATAATTGCCACAAATTCTCACAGCTGCCAAATGAGTGGTATACTGAGAAGAGAACCTGGCAAATGTCCCTGAGAGAGTCCAGCGGCCCGTGCTTATTGTCAACTAACTTGTGCTCTCCTCGCTGTCCCGACACCCTAAACATCAATCTCTCTTATTCGTGTGTGAAACTCTAAAGATGATTTGTTAAAGCTGCCCAATCCTGGTGTGGACGATGGGGCTGACTCTGTCATAACAGAAACTTGTTTGGGAGAAGTGGAATCCATCAGCTCTGACTTAACAGAGGTTGGTCCTGAGCATGGTTTCTGAACAGCACCACAAAGGATGGCCCAGTTGCGGAATGTCCTCAGACCTATCTCTATCCCACTGGACCTTAGATGGTCTTCTGTTAAACATCAGGAAGTCAACATAGAGCTTTGTGCTCTGGCTGCATTATAGCAAACCTTCATCTGGAAGTCCCTGTGATGACAGAAAGGCAAACCTCCCACTCCAGTGCCGTATTTCTATGGTCGGTGCGAAAGTTCAGAGTGTTGGGCTTCAAACAGCGGCAGACGTTTGATTTGACGGTTCGAGAGTGTTGGGGGAGGGGGGAGGGGAGGGGGGGCCAGAGAGCTGGAGAGTTGAGGACAGGAGATTAGAGAGGGAAAAGCAAATTACACCTCCCTCTATCTATTGACGACTGTGTGAGCTTGTTTGTGCTGCTGTCTGTGCAGTAAATGCTAAAATAGAGCAAAGGCAAGATTGCTGCTCTTGACCTCGGTTAAGCAACTAGAATATTCTCTCAATGAAGAAAGACCACTTTGCTTGTATTTTAAAAAAAGGAAAGAAGTAGAAATTTCTGGGAATGTCGGATTAGACCGTAATGGTGAGTTTTATAAATGTCATAAGGAAGCTTACATACAGGAATTGGCTCTAAAACGTGAATTTTGGAACAATGCAACGCAACACAATTTACATCTGCATCACAAATATATTTAGCAGATGCTTTTGTCTGATATACAGGGGGGGGGAGATTATATAGCACTGGAAATGAAGCGTTTCTGCTTCAGAGCGTTTGGGTTTCCTTCAACCTGTAGGTTCCTCTAAAACAAGCCCTTTATGCCTTTGCAGAGGCTGGACTTCACAAAGGGCTACAAACGGCTCCGACCAGAGGTTCATCATTGTGGCGGTTTTGATTTCAACTGGACTAATTATTTCCTTTGTCTGACCTGTTTTTGCTAATTTTAACCAGCCCATGGCCTGTTATGTTAAGCAATAGCTGGGACATCTCTGTTCCGCTTGGACCAGGTGTGGAAAGTTTCAGCACTCAACATTTGACCCGAATCCTGCTAGCTGGATCTCGGCTCTCTGAGAATGTTCCACAAACCTTCCTGTTCTTTCAGACCTTTCCGACTTTACATGAGCTGAGCATTGGTGCAGCCACAGTTGGTTCAACCTAAGAGCTCCATTTTTTTTCTCAGTTTCCATTCTTACATTTTACTCGTTCATCAAAACATAATCACGCAATAAGGCAAAAGGTAAAAAATCTAGCATACAATGCTCAAACAAAATAGCAGTGCATTGTTTTGCAGGTATTCTATAGTATATTTTTATTTTCTGGGAGAAAATGTGGGTAAAAAGGATGAGTCTGAAGTTCAGCTGTCTCAATCTGAAACAGTTTTAGCACTCCATTACCACGCTGCCTTTAGACCTTTTTCATGCTTCCTGTTGAAGACAATGTGGAAACAGGTATGAGAACCTTATCAACTCATCTTTCATTTTCTTAGCCTCCCCCTCACTCCGTTCCAAGCTGCAGGCCTGTTTACAAAACAGCAGAATGCAGCACGAGGGCCAAGCAGCCCGCACACACACACACACACACACACACACACACGCTCACGTCCTGCCCACACGTGCCGTTCCTGGTCGCAGTCACCCATCGTGAGACGCCTGCCATTTCCTGCGGAAGCCCCCGCAGTCAAAGACTTGCTGACGGCAACACAGCCACGGACAGGCGCTGTCCTACTTAGTGGCTGGGGGGGGGGGCAGGCGACCATGTCAGCAGGACTGGGCGCTCGCTTGCCAGATAAACCTCTAGGATTAGTGGCCTAGTTTAAATTGGGCAAAGAGGATTAGCCTCCCCCACAAGGTGGCGAGAGATTCCCAGTGTCCTTCAGCTGCAGGAGTCCGTGGGGAGATGGAGGGTGAAGTGAGAGGTGAGGCCGCAGGTGACAAACATACCAAGCCACAGCAGGGGGAGTGTTTGCAAGCAATTGTGTTCCATCTTTAAAAGCCCCTAAAAGTGTAGGTGGTGTGGGTTAGGGTCAGGTGAAGGGAGCTGATGTGAAATCAGTCTCTTGATGGCGTTTGTGATTTAGTTGGTCTTCTGTGTCTCATTTGATAGTGTCCATTTTTTACCCGCAGTGATGTGATGTGGCCACCAGAGGGCTTCCCAAAAACAATTTCTCGCAACAACCATAACTATTAAATGTCCAACACTCCAGTTTTTAAATAATAAGACAGATGTATTGGTAAGTAACCTGAGTACATACTGTAACTTCCATGGAATTATTTTCTAAATGTATTTTTATCTGTAGTGTCAGCACTTCTGTCCTCATTCATTCAGATGAGCTACAAAATGCTACAAGCATCTGGACACAAAGCAATGTCACATAATTCACACTTGATGAAAGGCATCTCTTCCAGTTTTTTTTGTAAACCATTAACGTTAGTTAGGCAAGCAGTGCATTATACACTTTTGATAACCTGTTACTAAGGTGTGCTGAATAGCATTGGATAGGAACTCAGCTGTTTTATGTTAAATGCCACTCCAATTACCCAGAGTGTCATGCTTCTTCAAATGGTAAGTACAAGTTAATAATCAATTTTTGTTGTTGTTCATTGTGCTGTTGTTTGGGGTACCCAGCTCTTTACATTCCTCTGGTGGACATAATTGGTATTGCAATATCATATACATGATTATCAAGCATCACTAAGTGACTAGCATAACACAGCAGAAGACAAGAAAAAAAACAATACAACAGCAAGATACAGTTTTTAATATAGAATAGAAATTTCATTAAAATACTATCATTGCAACTAAAACATTTTCTTTCCAAAAAGCAAAACACAAACTGTAATATACATCCTCTTTTTAAAAAAAAGTAAAAAGAGGGCTTTGAGTACACCTGAAAACTAGGCATTAAAAAACATCGAGAGGTACATGCAACGATTACAGCATGTTGCCGCACCCACCACCCCACAAACCACCTCAGGGATGAGAACCTGAGTGCAGCCATGCGGCGGGCGATACCTCAGCACCACACTAGTCCAAATGGACCAGCGTGAGGTTTTTTTCCCAGTGGTTAGAGTGCAAATCCTGCCACCAACCCCCAAGTTATTCCCTGCAAGTTGGAGGACCTCCTTCTAAGGCTGGATGTAGATTAACATTAAACCCGGGACAAAGCAATTGCAGGTTAAAGGCCCTCAAGGGCCCAATGGAGTAGAATCACTCTGGGCATTTACGGGATTCGAACCAGCAACCTTCCAGTTGCTGGCACAGATCCCTAGCATCAGAGCCATCACTCCATCATAAACAAGTAACGGAATAAATGACCAGAAGACTTTTGCATATTTTGTCTAGTACAAGGAGATGAAATGGATGCTGTGTCAAACACAAAGTGTACAGCAAACAGTCTTGGCTACTTGGTCTAGTAAATACCATCACTAGATCAGCAGGCAATATTGTAGCAAAACAAATTCAGACATAATCTGATTATGAAATAAAAATGACATGTACGTTTAAAATATCTTGAAAAACACTGCTTCCTACAACTGTGGGTTATTTGAATATATTTCTTTGCAGAGCAATATGTTTATATTTTTCTACATTTCATAGGCCACTAAACATGCATTTGTTTACATAATAATTGACAAGTCTTTATCTGGCAATGTATTTTAGATGACCCAAAACAGGACATGAGAGGAATCCATTTTAGGTAGCTCTGGAGGTTAAAAATTCATTTCCTTATTATACTTTTAAATCAATTTCAACCTGAATAGAGCCAAGTCTGTCCAAGTCCAATATTTTTTTACAGTATAAACTTCAAATTTCCACAAACTGAAGTAAAAAGATTAAGCATTTAATAACAGTAAAACAGGGACACGGAGGCTGAGCTAAGTCAGTTGAATATTCCTTGACAGATCAATTACATATGAACTCGTGATTATGTCACACTGAGAATGAGAGGCTATAAACTGTCTGTACTGCCATTGCTGGGTTGTGTGGCGAGCAGATGTCTACCTTCAGGTCTCAGATGAATCATCTCTGCTTTGTGGGTTCAGAGGTGTGCCCCGGTTTCAGACACTACACAAACCTGGCTGAAAACCAGCTCTCTACCAACACGATCATTATCAACATTTGTGTCAGATACCAAATAGCAAACTGCATATAAAAACCTGGAAAGATTTTATGGGTTGTCTTTTGGCTTAAGATGTCCCTTTCTGAAAATCCCTGAGTTTACAAAACAGACATCTCGATATGTTTGTGACAGACGAGGTTCCTGTGGACAATCAGCTTGTTACGGTCTGACTTTGACCATGCATCCTGTCTGCAGCACCTTCTTGTGCATTTCTGTGCTGACACCAGGCTGAAGGTGGAGCACTAATCACTTCTGGAGGGTAGATTTAGTGTTTCGATGATGAACATGTACACTGACATCATTGTTCCTGAGTGAGCGATTATTGTAAATGGACAGATGGATGGATGTTTGGCAGTGATCTGGTAGGTTGTTTCCGGTGACCCTCAGGAGATTCAGGTCCATCTCTCTGCATCGACCCCCCATATCTGAGAGCTCAGCTGTGGCTCTCATGACTGTGTCTGTTCTTGGTAGTTGGGTGAAGGGGTTCCATCTCAAGCACCAAATCGTTCTGCTGTGTGCCCTTGTTCAGTTCCATGACTCGCGGAACCACTGTGGACCAGCGATCTGCAACTCAACAGAGTGAGATTCATTAATACAGTTCTCACAAGTGTATAGTGCCTTAGTGTAACTGTACTTAATTACTACCACTATGTAAAATCATCATACGCATGAAAATAAGGCAGGAAGCACAGTGGTTTACAGAAGGTAAAGATGGGACAAACTGGGATTAACAACAAAACTGAAGTAAAAGTGGCATATAGGAAGTGTTTCAAATAGAAAAAACTACAGACTCAAATAAGTTGCACAAATGTGTGTGCGTGTGGGCATGTATATATTACATTGGGTGGACCAAATGTCCCTATAATGTGATAAAAATGTGGTATTTTGAGGTTGGGGGGCATGGTGGTGCAGTGGTTAGCACTGCCGCCTCCTACCACTGGGAGCTGGGTTCAAGTCTCTGCCTATGCCCCCATGTGTGGGGAGTTTGCATGTTCGCCCTGTGTCATTGTGGGGTTTGATCCACATACTCTGGTTTCTCCCCACTGTCCAAAACCCATGCTGAGGTTAACTGGGGTTGTCAGATTGTGTGTGTCTGTTCTGCCATGGGTTGGCACCCCATCCTGGGTTGTTCCCTGCCCTGATAAGTGGTTACAGAAACTAGATGGATAGGTGTTGTGGGGACCATTTTTTCCAGTACCGACAAGGGGAAACTCAATTTTATGTAAGTCTTTGACTGCAGTCAAAAAAAACAGTCATTTATGGTTAAGGTTAGGGCTGGGTAGGGCTTAAGGTTGTTATAGTTGGGATTACGGTTCTGCCCATGAAAATGAATGGATGGTCCCCACAAAGATATGAATAGAAACATATATGTGTGTGTGTGTGTGTGTGTGTGTGTGTGTCAGGTCCTGCTTCTCACCTCTCCTCAAACCCCGGACTGTCTGCTGCATCCTGTCAGACTGGTAAGTTTCATTTTTTCCAGGGTCCTCATTGATGATTGCCAGGTTCTGGTTCCAGCTGGACCAGTTGACCTCATCGACCCTGCGGCAGTAAAAGACACACCTCCTTTTCTCAAATGACACTTGTCAAGTGATTTTTTCCTTCTATGAATTAAGAGGGTTTTGGTTCATAACAGCAGATTTTAACCTTCTCTGAATGAGCCTCTTTCCATTGCACATGTTTGATGTGATTTCACCAGCTAGCACAGCTGGCCAAACTAATAAATGTATCATCAAGCCATTGATTAGCTATAACAGCTATCATGCAGATGGATTGAGTGGGTAAATCAGAGTGGTGAAGACCCACTAATTGTAGAGCACAGGTGTCAGACTCTAGTCCTGGGGGGTCAGAGCCCTGCACATTTTTGGGTTTCCCCTTGTTTAACAGACCTGATTCAACTCCTTGTGCTAATTACCACATAGTTGTTGAGCTGAATCATTTGTGGTGGAACAGGGAGAGAACTAAGCTACACAGGGCTGGAGTTTGACACCCCTATTGTAGAGGGTCACTTAAACATACCTGAAGCACCACCTTCGGTCTGGTGTCCCGTCGTGGTTCTTGCCCACAGTCACCATCTCCCCGACCCGGAAGGTCTTCCGCAGACACACTGGGAAGGCGCGCTCGATATCCAAGATGGTGGTGGTCCACTGAAAAGGGAGGGCACAAGTGACATTTACTGAGGATCTTATGAGTAAGTGTGAAAGGGCTCAGAGGTCACACCATAAGCTTAGAATGTTTTTAAAAGATGACATGGATAGGTGATGATGTCAAGTTTGTAGTGTTTAATTTTCATCTATCTTCCAAGAGGTTGGTTAGGTTTCGGTTGGGCCTTGACAAGACAACACCATTGCATAGATGGGTTTAAAGTGTCAAGTCACTACTGTGCCATGTATCAAGACCTTCAGCTGGGGTTTAACAGCTGCTTCCACCCTCCAGAAGGATCCAAAGTGCTGCACCTGCCTGAAACGAGCCCTGAAGCCTGGATCTCACCTGCACCTTCCAGATCTTCTTGCTCTCCTTGGACACTTGGCTCACAGTCTCCCCCATGAGAGCGATCAGCATGTTAAGCAGCAGCACGAAGGTCAGGATGATATAAGTGACCAGCAGGATGAGGAAGACGGCCGGGTAGTCCGCATTTTGAATTATGTCGAGATCACCCATGCCAATGGTCAGCTTAAAGAGGTCCAGCAGGAAGGTGCTGAACGTGGTGTTATCACGGCACTTCACCTTGGAGCAGCTGTCGTCCAGGCACTCGGATTGAGAGGGCGGGCACGATGTCAGGAGAGACACCAGAGCTGGAGGCAGTGGATGGCCATTACATTCAGCTGTCTCAAGCATGGTTGAATCAAAAAGAAATGTGAGCATCCGGGCGGACCATACCTGACGCATATCCGATCATGAAGAGTACATAGACCAGCAGGAATCTGAAGAGATCCTTAAACAGAATCTGAAACATGGAGTCAAACAGTGAACACAGAGGCTCTCATTCTGAAGCAAAACCTTGGAGTGCCGTCTCCCAGGTCACGCAGAAACTCAACATGAGGAGCAGCCCCATCACCCTCTGAGCAGAAAGCAGAAACCAAATCGCTCACTCATTCACGCATGCATGTCTCAAGCTGCCCACCCACATGACATTCAACCTGTGCAGCGACGGTGGGTTTCCTACCTTCTGTATCATGATGCTGTATGTCCCGGTAAGCTTAAAGCCCCTGGTGAAGTAGAGGGTATTCATCCATCCGAGTGCCAGGGCAAAGACCATCACAGTGATGTAGGCCTCCACACCAGCCAGGTACAGGGCCGCCGAGACCAGGATCAGCACAGAGTAAATGAAGCTATGAGACAGAATTAATTTCTGACTTGGGAAGAGCACAATTTCTGTTCCAAGTAGAAGCCTTCACACCTTCAGCATGCTTTCCTATTACTGATGCACTTTAATCATCAGCATTCTCGCGATAAAGATGAAAGTAAAATGGCTTAAAAAAAAATAAATAACTATAGCGAGAGTCTTTTGCTTCTTTATTTGAATCGGTGGTTTAATTAAAGCGGATGTTAATTATAAAATATGCCAGGAAAAGGGGCCGTAGAATTAATTAGACATCTCAATTAAAAGGATGAGAAATTGTAGCCTCTGGGAGGAGAAAAAAAAACAGAGGCGAGGTGGATAAAAAGGACAGGGAGGTGGGTCTTGAGTCTTACTAGAGCAGCTGAAAGGAGCCATCAATAAATAAGGAGTTAACCCCTGGGCATTTCTTCAGAAAGAGGTCCTTAACCTACAGGAAGAAAGAGAGAGAGACTCTGGTCACGAAAATACATTAGGAGGCTCCTCAGGGTGTGAAAGGCAATGGGAGGCAGAATGGGAACAAGTGAAAGGAAAGGATGAGAGTGGAAAAACAGCACAAGGGCAGGGAAAAAAAAGACGGAGTGCAGGATGGTCGGGGAAGAAGCCAGAGATGGAGCAAAGGAACAAAATGCGTGACAAAAGCATGAAAAGAAATCAAGCACTTTTGATGATGACAGACATTTTTCATAACTAAATAAGGGTAAGTCACAGATGTGGATCTAGGTACAAACTGAGAGAGAGAGAGCCAGGGTCAGGTGACTCACGTTGGACAAGAAGAAGAACACGCCTGAGCCCAAGGTCACAATCTCTCCAGCCAGCCGCAAGTAGTCGGTGGAGGTGGTGTAGGGGTATGGAGGCTGGGATTGGTAGGAGGCAAGAACATGCTGAGTTTGATTGCTCTCAGTTAGTGCAGGTAGTTGCCCAAAGCTGGTGGTGATTTTTAACCATTAACACAAAATCTTAACTGAGAATTACCACTGGAGGTCCTGAACTAGCTTTGAGTTACAAATTTGACCCAAATGCAACCCAAAGAACTCCAGTCAGCGCAGGTCAGTGTCAGGAGCCGGCAAGGGACACGTACCTTTTCCCCAGAAGGGCGGTAGTAGGCTATCAGGGTGAAGATGATCATGGTCACCAAGTAGGACACCACACTGATGTAGAAGGTGACAGCGCCAAACTTCTGCCACTTTGCTCTCAGCAGCTCATTAATGGGCTCCACTGCTAGCATCTCGTGTCGGTTCTGTAGGATGGATTCAAACAACAGTGCCGCTAAAACGCTGAAATATTACCACAAGCTGGGGTCAATAAATCAATATATCCATCCATCCATCCAGTTGATGGTGGCAGGACATGCCTGGACATTGTCCAAAGAACAACAGGGTACACACAGTAAAAAGGCAATAATTAATAATAAAAAAAAATAATACTTTTTTTGAGGTGGACTTTAAAGATTCCAATGGAAAATTCTGGAGAATAGACACAAATATACAGTATTGAGGTAAGGGGGCGCATGCTGATTACAGCGTGTTGCTGCACCCACCATCTATTCAATCACCTCAGGGATGAGAACCTGAGTACAGCCATGTGGCAGGTGATACCTCAGCGCCACACTAGTTTGAATGGACCAGCGTGAGGTTTTTTCCCAGTGGCTGGAGTGCCAATCCTTCCACTAACCCCCAAGTTATTCCCTGTAAGTTGGAGGACCTCCTTCTAGGGCTGGATGTAGATTAATGTCATACCCAGGATGAAGCAATTGCAGGTTAAGGGCCTTGCTCAAGTGCCCAGTGGAGTAGAACCACTCTGGGCATTCATGGAATTCAAACCAGCAACCTTCCAAATGCTGACAGATCCCTGGCCTCAGAGTCACCACTCTGCTCTTGCAGTATTGCAAGAACTTTAATAACTTAAACATCCCAATAGTATCTATTCATTCAATTTTAACAATCCCTTCTCCAATTAAGGTCTTGGGATTCTGAAACAGGGAACCTCATTGGCAAGAGAAAGGTTCCATGCACCTCGATGCGACTGTTGTAGACCAGGATCTCCAGCACGGACACATCCTCGCCACACGTGTCCAGGGAGGAGAGGTCATACAGGGAGGAGTACACTGGGCCATAGGCCCAGTCCTTGAACTTGCGTGAAAGGTGCCGGGCGTCTTCATCCTTGATCTCTCTGCGGATGATGTGCTGAAACACCTGAGCAAGAAGGAGCCCCAGTTAACAAGTAAGTAATGGCAGTAGGTGGGGTAGCATTTAGGAACCACATGTCTAAGTCCCAGGATTAGACTCATAGATGCAGAGAAATAATCACTATTGATGCTAGCAGAGGGCTGATCTGAATGGAAGTGGATGTAAGAATTCCCGCACATTATTTATATAATGCTAGCTGCCTGGATGCTAGGACTCCATGTGGCTTCAAGGTCCATCATTAAAGCCAATACAGAAGTACTTGTTTCCTCCCCTCCATTCTTCTTTGGGTTTTATTTAAATCACTTCCGAAAATTACAATGTCAGTTTGTCAGGCGGTTATTGTTTATTGTTATTCTTAAGCAGTTGTTAAGAGCTTTGGGAAACTGGCCTGGGAAGAGCTCTAAATCTCATACTGAACTGATTCCTTTTAGTGTCATATCGGCTGCACATGAGCATCAAAAGCCATTTGTCTATCTGAACTTAAGCCTATTCCAGGAAGCACAGGGCTTAAAGCAGGATATAGAGGACACACCCTGGACAAGACGCCACTCCCCTGCTTGGTCTTTAGACAGACACGCATGTACACACACACACACACACACACACAGGGCAAATCAGAGTCAAATACACTGGACCTGGATGACTTTAGGGTTGGGGAGGAAGCTCACGCAGATACAGAAAAAACATGCATATACATAGGCCACCATGACAATATGCAAGTTCACCTCCTCATTACCTACATACACCTTAGAAACTGATATACAAGTTGCTAACTAGTTACTAACAAGCTAACCCATATATTCATCAGCAGCAGTTAACATCTATGGTGTCACTAGTGCTGCTTTAGGGCAGCCTCACCCCGATTTTGCCCAACTTGGCAGCCATCATGAGTGGTGACATGCCGTCGTTGTTGGGCACCCTCTCCATATGGCAGTCCGGATGCAGCTTGACAGTCTTGACCAACAGCCGGTCATACATCTTGGTGAGGAAGCGCGTGTTGTCCCGCGTGTTGTCGGCGATGTGAACCAGCGCGTGCAGCACCGTGTTCCCCCGTGAGTCCTGCCGCCGCAGGTCCGCCTTCTTGTGCGGGTTCTCCGTAAGATAGTGTACCATCTCTGGCTGGTTGGTGCAGGCGGCCAGGGACAGCGGCAGCTCACCTGCAGGGGGCAGCAGATTAAAATGATTTTTGTCAACATGAAACTAAACCGCAGAAATATGTTTTTAAAGAATCTGAAGAGGATTTAAAAAGCACCATGTGTCATGATTCATTTAGATTGCTTCCAGTAACAATCAAGATGGTTGCAAAGGACATTCAGGATGAACATTCAGAAAGTACCCCACTTCTACTCAACTGTCATAGTTAAACTGGAATCAGGCCATTAAATTACACCCCCCACACACTAAATACCGCTCACACTCAAGTACCTTGTGAGTCTTTTCATCAATTTATTTATTTCATGTTTCTTTCATAAGTCACGGTCTTGTCTTATTTGTTTTATTTAAACCTTGACCAACAGAACTGTGCAAGAATTCCAGTGAACTTATACTTCTGTACCTGTGCAAATGGCAAATAAAGTTTCAGTGCAATTCAATTCAAAAGGCACCTGATGCTGCACAAACGAGTGACCTTTAAACTGAAGAGAGCAGGACTCCAAAGTAGCAGTCAAGGGCAGGCAGATGCTTTCAAAATAAGAACGGAATCAACTGGCATAGCAGGAACGTGTGGGTGGTGAATAGGGGACAGTGGGATAAAAGGGGGCTGCTCTTATGACAGAGCTTTAAGTGCTTACATGGTTGTATAGCCACACTCCTATAAAGCAGGCAATAAGCCCAAGAAGGATGCGTACTTTTGTGTGGAGCTTTCAAGCATGTGCTGATGTTGTTTCACAGTTCACTAAGGTGGCCCAGAGTTGATGTAGTGCCTATGCTTGCTCCACTACAGAAGAAGAATTCTATTACTGAGCACATAAAGACTGATATAATCAAAGTGAATCCATCAGCTAGTAGTTGTTTAAAATTGAACTTTTCCAAGTACCAAGTAGCCTTGCAAGCAGGTCCTCCAGCTTACGTGGAAAATTTGGGGGTTGGTGGAAAAAACTCACATTGTTCCATTTGGACTAGTGAGGCGCTGAGGTATCACCTGTCACATGGCTGCACTCAGGTTCTCATCCCTGAAGTGATTTGTCATGTGGTGGGTGCAGCAACACGCTGTAATCAGCACATGCTCCTTTCCTCTCTCTCCTCTCTCTCAAGTACCAAAAATGTAGAAAGGGACTAAAAAGTCACATTTGTACAAGCAACACGTCATAACCATCAAGTTTTGAGTCATGCTTCTTAGAATTAAGCAATTCAGAGACTTTATTCAAGCAAGTCAAATCAAGTCAGAGACTTAGTCAAGCAAGTCACGGTGTAAAATGTTTAACGCAAGTCTTCCAGGGCTGTAATGTCACACATATTTGTTCTGAACTGTTAAGTGCATAATTTTCAGTTCACTACACACAATGAAACCAATGAATACATTTATTGAGACGGGGAACTTAAATTCACAAGTAGACATTCAACATGGAAAACATTATTGTAACTGTGGTTGTAAGTTTGTTACGGCTAATTCTGGTCAGTCAAAATCAGGGAACATTTTGTTTCCCAGTAAAAATTACACCAACACTGGAGAGAGTAGTTAAGACCAAGACTGTCTGTTGACTCTCTTACACCAAACTCAGATATGTTGCTGGCTACACATCCAACATGCAATTGAGACATCATCCGAGTCTGTACCGGTGCAAGGCGGAAATCGCTTGGGCTAAGAGTCAGTTCCAAAAAGAAACTTGTGTCACTACTGCAATTCGTCATTTTTTGACTGACAAAATGGCGCATATCCTGCTGCGGACATGAGCAAAACACGTGGCAGGCTCCAGACCCCAACCCTGAGACATCACTCATATAAATGTCCCATTGCTCTTGCTGACATGGACGTTAAACTGTTCATTTTCACGTTCGATAAGTTATTGCTAGCTTACCAACCTGTCTTTATTGGTTTGAAAATGTAGACAGAAGTTGTGGTCAGTATGATGTTTTCCCCCAAATCTTGCAGACTGCCGTCCTTTTTTGTTTACTTAATCTGCATAAAAATGTGAGTAACCAATGTTTATAATTTTTGGTATTGATGTTGCCATGGTTACTTCATGCTAGAGAGCTGAACTGAGCTCACTAACCATTTGTTGTCCGTCTTATGGCTTCTGTCATTAATGGGCACAGAAACACAATTGTGGAGCTGCTGACAATGAGCACAAAAAAAATCAAGGTGGATATTAATATTATTTGCAGTAATATGTGTGCCTTCAAAAGTCATCCATCATACATTTGTTATTCAACATACATTTTAGTCAAATCTCAAGTCAACACTACCCAAGTCTAAGTAGTGAAGTCTTTTTCATCAATTGGAATACAAGTTTCAAGTCATATACTGATATACACTCACCTAAAGGATTATTAGGAACACCATACTAATACGGTGTTTGACCCCC